GAGCATTTGCTGTTAAATCATTGGCAATGATTGTATTATCCACAGTACTACAGCCGTAAAAATAGTGATCACGTTTAACTAATCTTGCGTTGAGAGAGGTTAGGACCGCCTACCTCATTAACATATGGACACAGAAATAAATAAATGTAGAAATGCAGAAATAAATGTAAAAATAAATAAATATAGAAATACAAATAAATGTAGAAATAAACGTAGCATAACACAAATGGTACCAAAATAGCTAAATTAAAAATGACACTTTAACACAAAATTATTAATTTATGTGTTTCTACATTTATTTATTTCATCATTGAATTAATTTATTTATATATACATTTATCTATTTATACATTTATTTATTTATGTATTTCTACATGCATTTATTTATTAATTTATGTATTTTTACATTTATTTATACTTAGGTAATTTCTGGTCCTCCATATCCGTCCGCATGAACCTTTGTGAAATGTAACCCATACATTAGAGCACTTTCTGTTAGCCATTGCCTTAGCACAGATGTGTTCGCAGATTCCCACATTACATGGGAGTGAGTAAATTATCGTGACCTTTTTATGAATGTGGAGTAATTCTTTAAGCACAATGTTCAATAAGGAAAATTAAACTATGTGTAATCATTTGAATACCTTGAAACTAGGGCTACACGATTTTGAGAAAAAAAACCTAATTGAGGTTTTTCTGATAAATATTGTGATTGCAATGCAATTTTCGATTTTGAAGATGCTGGTATAGATTGGTAGTGTTTCCTCTGGATCTGGCCACGGGATGTCGATTTTACATTTAGTACACTTTTGCTTCACGTCGTTCTTCGCGAATCCAAAATAAGTTCAAACTGCTGAAGCATTCACACAAGTGAAGCGTATATCATTTTGTTCTCGAGTGCCATTAAAGATTCATTCAACATGAATGAATCATTTGAGAACGACCATTACCTCAAGTTCAAACACTGGAGTGGAGTAGCTTCGCTGTTTATAAATTTCAGACATTGACAATGATGAAAACTACTATAATTAAGTGATATAGATGTTTATTCACATTAGCAGGTGCGAGTACTGGGCAATTAAAATTTAAATGCTAATTTGACTGACCACAAATTCTAAAATGTGAATCTGTCTCTGTGGTGTCGACAACAAAGAGAAGCGCGCAAATTATAATCTTCTGGTTGATTTTAACGTTGCACAACTTAACATTTGCATTCAATATATCAACAAGTCAAATAAAACTTACCTGTAATTCAATTGCCGTCCCACCACGTTGGCAATGACATGGAAAATGGCGACCCCACGATTCCCTCCTGGATGTTGACGCATGCTCAATTAACCAAAGCAAATATTTAAGAGTATACTTTACTCATTTTTTAAGTGTTGCATTTTTTTACTGTTAAAAAATAGATAGTGTAGGTAAAATGTACCCATTATGTTGCATTTTAGATGCTAACTCATAAACTTAATTAAACTTTACCTGATTTTCTTGGGTGGTATTTAACACCCCCTTGAGTAATTTTTTACAGTGCAGTTCTTAGCACTAAATTCACCAGTGGGCATGGTGTGTGACTGATGCTGATTCTGACACATCTTCCAGATTTGAGTGATCAGTGCTCACTTGCTGAATTCCCCCACTGATCAACAGTGTATTTCTGCCTCTGACAGATCCTCTGTTGACAAGCACATCTCTGTCAAACGTGTCCTGCTGCTTCTCCTCCAGCATGCTGCAATCATCCAGAGTCGTCTGTTGATTTTGGAGGATTTATTTACTTATTTAAAGAAAATTAAGCCATCAACATCATGCAGTGAACTGATTCTGGAGATTAAAAAATCTGACTAGAAATTGAGTAATGCCTTCAATCTAAATGCTGGATTAATTAAACCTGTAGTGGGTAAACTATGGACTAACCCAGACATTGGGTTAAATTTGGTTCTATTAATTTAAAATAATTAACCCAGAAGGTGATTTAGTGTGTATTACACCCAGATATGCCACATTGTTTAGTGCATGTCCACATATATTAGAAATACCATTAGAAATATCAGATTCAGCTCGCCAGATGTAAAAGCAGTAAATCTTATGAACACTTATTAATAGTCAAGAAAAAACAAACAAGCCATGCAGAATCAGGAGGATAAAGAGCAGTTTATTGAATAATCCTGTGCATATATTTCTGTAATGTCAGACAACGTTAAGCTTCATCAGCTCAGACCAGAACAATATCAGCAAAAGCGTTAATATACTAGAGAACAATGACTGATTCACAACATCATGCGACATTTAAAACTTATACACGGAGACATCCGCTTATTTCTAATACATGTAAAGACAAAGATCTCTTCAAACCACCATGAGGTTAAACAGCAGGGCAAGCAAATGAGTAAAATAAGTCAAATAACATATAAAACCTCAAAATTAACAACAGTAATGAATCATTAAATCACCAGATGTAAATGAATAACAGGAGTAAATCACGTCATTACACACCCTCCACAGACACAATACGACCGCATGCTTTAATGTCGAATCAACTCTTGGTTTGTCAGCTTATGACCTCTTTAAATGATATTGTTTGGTCTATATTTTCCTGAACGGAGCATATATTGATTGACTGATTTCAGACACATTATAGGCAGATTAGATTCAGAACATTTCACTATAAATCCCTAAATCCTGCATTGCTGTATATACTTGTGTGTAATCGTTTACTGATATATTTGACCAACACAAATGTTCAGCAGCTGATGAAAGATGTTTGGGTTGTTCTCCTCTGGTTTCCTGTAGGTCTGCTGGACTATCAGTGGCACTTTCTGATTGCTTGATTTGTTGTAGTTTCTGTAGTTTGCTGTGTTTTATTGTTAGCTGGTTCAGGGGTTGTAGTTTGTGTAAATGCTCATAACTTTATTAATTAACAAATAATGAATGTTCAGCAAAACTCAAACTATTCCTCTAATTTGCTTTATGTACTAAATAAATTTCCTAATTAAACTAAAGTAATGCATTAATGTAATCATTCGATTAGTTGATGAGACACTACTGGTCAGCTAAGATCATCTCTAGGCTGGATCTGCCTATAGCATTCAATAACAGAGAGATGCGTTCTTCATCATTTCAGCCAGTTCCTCATTCTCCTCAGTTGCTCTCTTTTTAAGATCCTCGAGTTTCTGAACTCTTTCTTGATTTCCAGTTTCCTTCATCTTCTCAATCATGAAGTCTAGATGGATGAAGGAGGAGATGGATGTGGATTTTAATGCCGTCTCCATTAGTTTCTCCAAACACTGATAGCACTCTTCCACAAGCCTGATCTTCTCCACCTCTGTCTGCTGGATGTCTTCCTCCAGTCTGCTCATCAAGCTTTTCTTCTCTCCATACTCATCGTATTTCTTCTTCAGATCTTCATTTGTTTTGGTGACCCTTCTTGTTTCATTCACATATTTCTTGTCATCTTTCACATGTTTCTTGACTTCACACTTTTCTGTGCAGACTGTACACTTTTTACTCTTTTTATCTATCACACTACACTTTGAGACCTCTGAGACCCACCAGCATCCGGGATAGTGGCAGTTCTCCTGACAGTGTTCGCATCGGGTCGCCTGTTTGCTCAAGTGCCACCAGGATGGATCCACTGGGACCAGCTCTTTGTAAGGTTTATCAACTTCATACTGAAAGTTCTTCTGCACTTCTCCAAGTTTATCCAGAGCTTTTTTGGTTTGTTCCAGTTCTCGTTTTTTCAGATCTGCCAGTTCGATTCTGCTCTGTAAATTGCTGACACAGGCATCCAGCTGTTTCCTGGCTCTGAGCACACCTTCAGTCATGTGTAAGCTTATTGGGGGAATCTTGCTCATATAGTCAAAGAACTGCCTGAAGTTTTCAATGCCATTATCCCAAGAGGCTTTATAACTCTCTCTGTCATTCACATGACAGTATTCACTCTGACAGTTGTCAAACTTAAAACAAGTGTGTGCATTGTTTACATATTTATCAAATGATTCCATGAAAAAATTACCAATTCTTTTGGGAAGCGTTTGCTTTTCTTGGTGTGTGAGCAGGAGTAAGATGTGTTTGTTGATATCTTTGCCAAATAAAGACAGAATTTCATCTAATATATTGCGCTTTCTCTTGTGGAGTCGCACATCTGCCGCATTCAGCACGATGCACACGGCATGAATTTCACGAATGCCATCCTCAGGCCTGAACAACTGCTGTAGAGCTTCAGCGATGCGTCTGTCTTTATCAGAGCCCTCTGTGTCACCAAACCCAGGAGTGTCGATAACAGTGAGATGGAATGGACTGCTCTGTGCAGAAACCTCATAGACAGTCACTGCTCTCGTCTGAGACTGTGTTTGGTCTTCAGATATCTCAATGACTTCCAGCCACTTCTTGTGTTCCCATCTGATGCCCATGATGTAATTGATCATTGCGTTGACGAGGGAAGATTTCCCTGTTCCTGTTTCTCCAACCAGTAGTATGACCTTATTAGGTTTGCCTTCATTCTGTGGTCCAATTCTCTCCTTCCTCAGCAGTTCTCCATCAGTTAAAACGGTTGGGGTCAGAATATATTTTGTGGTGGGTCCACTTATTGACCTGCTATTTTTAAGAATTTCGTTCAGTTCACTTGACAATGGGGTATCCATCTTTACAGGCCTGCAAAAAATAAAAAGACATGTTATTCAGAATTGTTCCTGCAAAAAATATATATAAATGAAATTCTGACACAGGGTGTTATGGTGGCGCAGTGGTGAAGGTAACTGGTTTGAGTCTCGGCTGGGTCAGTTGGTGTTTCTGTGTGGAGTTTGCATGTGCTCCCCGTGTTGGCATGGGTTTCCTCTGGGTGCTCCGGTTTCCCCCACAGTCCAAACACATGCGCTATAGGGGAACTGATCAACTACACTGCCGTAGTGTGTCAGGCTCGGGGATCGAACCCGGGTCCCTGGCGTGTGAGTGTGGACTGCTTACCACTGAGCCACTGGTAGTTGAAGAACCCAGCAATGAGACACTTTCAGATTCCTTGAGGACTTTTATTAGCAACAAAAAACAATCTTCAATGGAAGATGAAAAAACAGTTAACAAAAACAGGAAACTTCACGTTTCAAAAGGTACATCAACTCAGACAGGCAAAAACTTCTGAACAGAAAAAAATCCAAAAAACTCCAAGAAATATTAGATACAAGAGAACTAGCTTAAATAACAAGAAGGAATAACTCACTGTAGGTGACAGGCATGGGTCAACAATAACCGAGCAAAGAACAGATGAAAAAAGGGTTACTTTTATACAAACAACTAAATAAGGCACATGTGAAACTGAAACTGGTGAATAAAAAACATTACATGAAAAATTAACCAAAAACCCTGACAGCCCCCCCCCCTCTAGGAACGGCTCCTGACGTTCTTGCCGAGTGATTTCATCTTAAGAGCGTGAAAGTCTCGAATGAGTCTCGGATCTAACGGATGTCCTTGGCAAGGACCCAGGAACGCTCCTCAGGGCCATAGCCTTCCCAGTCCATGAGATACTGTCGGGTTTTGCGTACTTTACGGACGTCCAGTATCCGGCGGACTGTATAGACTGCTTGCCCTCCAACAAAACGAGGAGGGGGAGGTTTACCTGCTACAAAGAAAGGAGAAGACAAAACTGGTTTAAGTAAAGACACATGGAAGGTAGGGTTTATCTTTAAAGATTTTGGCAAGTATAATTTGTAGGTGACTAGGTTTACTTTCCTGGCGATCTTGAATGGTTCAATGAACTACTGGGATAGTTTCATGGAGTCAACCCGTAGGAGAATGCTCCTGGTGGAATGCCAGACTCTTTGGCCCGGACGCAGATTGGGAGCCGGGTCTGCGCCTGCGGTTAGCCTGGTGTTGGTATTGTTGGGATACTTTGAGAAGTTTGAGACATGCCTTCTTCCAAGTCCAGCGACAGCGTCTAACAAACTGGAGGGCCGAAGGGACTGCTACTTCCACCTTCTGTTCAGGAAATAGTTGGGGGGAATAGCCAAACTGGCACTCAAAAGGGGACATGCCCATAGCTGATGAACACAGGGAGTTATGCGCATATTCAGCCCACATAATGAACTGAGACCAAGTGGTGGGATTGTTTGCTGTCATGCATCTAAGGGTGGTTTCGAGGTCTTGGTTGAGTCTTTCTGTTTGTCCATTTGATTCTGGGTGGAAACCGGAGGATAAGCTTGTAGTGGTCCCTAGGGATTGACAGAACGCTTACCAGAATCGGGAGGAAAACTGAGGTCCCCGATCTGAGACGATGTCCTGGGGAATTCCAAAGACTCCGAACACATGGTTCATGATTAGTTCAGCTGTCTCTTTGGCCGTGGGAAGTTTAGACAGGGGAATGAAGCGGGCGGCCTTTGAGAATCGGTCTACTATGACTAAAATAGTGGTGTTTCCTTGGGATGGGGGAGTCCAGTGATAAAATCCATAGATATATGAGACCATGGTCTGTGAGGTATGGTGAGTGGGTGGAGAAATCCCTAAGGTGGCTCATGGGAACTTTTGTTTTTGTTGCAAGTGGGGCAGGCCTTAACAAATGCCATCACATCTTCCTTGATGGTTGGCCACCAAAATCGTCTTTGCAAGAATTCAAGGGTGCGGGCAGAGCCCGGATGGCAAGTAAGCTGTGACAAGTGTCCCCACATGAGGACTTTTGATCGAACAACTCTAGGGACATACAAACAGTTGGGAGGACCACCGCCTGGCTCTGGGTCCTTAGTTTGGGCCTTCCTTATCAGACCCTCCAGCTCCCACCTGATAGGGGCTAATATCTTAGAGCTGGGGACAATCGGTCTGATACAGTCCTCTTGCGGGGACTTCACATAAACTCGGGACAGTGCATCAGGTTTCAGATTCTTAGATCCTGGACGATAGGTGAGTGTGAAGTGGAATCAGTTAAAGAATAGAGACCAATGTGCTTGGTGGGGATTAAGTCGTTTGGCCTGTTGGATATATTTAAAATTCTTGTGGTCAGTTAGAACTTGGAATGGATGTTTCGCCCCCTCGAGCCAGTGTCTCCTGTGCTGATTTCCCTTTATTTAATCACCCTAATTAAACAAAGTTAAGATCAGGATCCTCCCTTAGCTATATTTCTTAGCCAGAGTTTAGTTTAAGGATCGTCTTTAAAGAACGTATTTTGCAAAAGAATAAATTAGAGCATACTTTACCACACAGGGTAACTTAGATGGGTTCTGGAAAATGAAGTCAATGTCCACTCCAGTGAAGAAAATTAATAAAATACACTTTTATTAATAAAATTAAATCCAGTGAAAAAGTAGAACAAACAAAAGACAAACAGAAAACAAGAAATCCTTACTTTGCCTCTCGTTAGAGACAAAGGGCAACCAACCTCAATGAACAGAAGTCAGGAAGCGCAAAGCTGGTCAGAAAATGCTCAGCTTTTATACTCACAAAACCAGGTCAGGCACATACCTTCACCTCATATATCAGTGAGGACTTGACACATACAACACAAGTATCCGCACACCAAGGTGCATTCTACCTAATACATCAAATTACTAGCTATAAATTTCTAAGGACCAACTGTATACTGTGGTCTAACCATTCAGTTAAGAATTTCAGGGATTAACAAAATTTATAGGGCATGTCATATGAGAACAAAGGTATAGCTGTTCCATATGCACATATTAGTACATTAATCAACACACACAAACATCTGAATGCATACAGTTGACAGGTTAAAAGCATTCTTCAACATTCCATGTAGCATTATCAGATGCAAATCCTGATACACATTCTTAGTGGGTTTCCCCGTGTGCACTTGTAATGTCGCTTTCCAAAGTTAGCTGCAGCTGCGAGAGGCGAGAGCATTCAGAGGGTAAGGGGTCAGAAGCAGTGTGCCTTGAGCTGCAGAGAGGAGCGGTCCCCCTCCCTTTCCATTCACTTGTCTTCCGAGCCTTCTTCTGGTCACGCCGTGCTTTACGCTTACACTTAGCTGCATCAGATACTGTTGAACTCTGGAGTATGGGGATTTCAGAATATAGGAAAGGTTTACGCTTATATTTTTGTGGTCTCACGTTAATCATGGCACTAGTCGTTTCATTAGAACCAGCCATTACATCCCCTCTTGCCATGTGTAGTTGAGACACAAAATAATCATTATCCAATTCATCTAACACACTCGATTTATATATACACTGTTGGAGTTGAACGGCCCATCCATCCGTGCCAATTAACCAAAGATTGAATAACTTTTCTCTCTTACGGTAAAATAACTGCACGGTTAGCAAGTTACTTCGCCCCATTGCGGCCAAGAGACGCCGGCCAATTCTTTTCGTCTGCGAGAAAGGCCGCGAGGTCTCTGGTAAACTCCAGATCTGGGCGTTCGTTAGTCGAAGTATCACCCCGTTGCGCCATAGGATTTCCTCCGTCTTGGTACTCTCCCACCGGCCATCCATCCACACCAGAACTTGTTCCTGTGGGTTGGATATGTATGGTGCCATTACTAACTACTAAGCCCATCTGGATTTCTCCATTTACCCAATAAGGCCGAACAAAGAACTTGCTACGCCGATTCATTCTATGTGTAACCACGGGAGCCCATGGTAAAATTAATTGCCCTCTGGCAGTTATTAATTTTGATAACAACGGCTGTAATTGGCCTTCATTCCAACAGAGAATATAATGAATCGTGTTAAAGTTTTTATCAGTGGTCACAAAACAGTTCATACAACACTGAAATTCTCTTCCATTGTTGTGGTAATAAATTTTGCACATTCTTGTACTATGGGTACAGGCCAGGTTGTCGTCACTTGCTCTTCCCCCTCTCGAAATCTAAAAAGATCAATATGTCATAATTACCCAAATGTCATAACTATAACAATTACATCTCTGTTGTTTCATTCTTCACCCACAATTGCTTTAACATTGTTACGCAATTATTATAGATTACACAAATGAAAACAGTTGGTCCTTGGTTTAATATACATTCATTTTGAAAAGTTCAAATAAAATTCAATCCTTTTCAAAAATCATAAAAAACCACAAAAACCCAAAAATTACCCTACTGATAACACTGTATCTCGTACCCAGATGTGTCTGACATCTTGTTATGATTGATTAAACAGTGGCAAGACTATTAAAACAATCATAACTGTTATTTCTCTCATTCTATTCCCATATTACTGGGTCATCATAATAAATTATTTCTTCACAATTTAAAATGATTAGAATTTATTTACCTGAGCAAGGTTTGTTCCCGACACAATGTTATCAGCATTCCCGTAATTTCCATTCATAGATGCCATTTTCTTCCAATTTCAGAGGTTTTGGAGATGAGCAATCAAGTCAGTCTCTTCCACTAAATGTTCGTTTAGACTGTTATGACTGCAGCCTTTAAATACAGTCCATGACTTGTTTTTTACTCTACTCTGGGACCCTTGACCTTAGGCGAGCATAACGCCTGACCCCGCAGACACTGCTCAGAACACCACATAGCTGTGCTGTCTTAAGGGATACGCTAATAAGAAGCACAATAACCACAATGCATCCCATAATGATCAAAATTAACTTGATCCACTTCCAGTATCCGATCACGGTTCTTTTAATAATTTCAACTGCTGTTCCAGCACCCAAGCTAATTATCACTCCTGCATTTAACAAGGTCTTTCTAATTTTGACAATTATTGGGACATCATCTATGACAATGTCTAAGGCTGAGATCCAATTGTGCATAAAGTGCCAATTTGGACCCAAGCTCGTCCCCTCTATGTAATCATCAACTAATTCTGTTAATTTTCTTTTAACATGAAAATTTTCAAGCCCTATAATCGCACAGTGTTTTTTAACCTGGTTTTCATATTTTGCAACTATGGGAAGTGCTGACACAAAGATTGCATGCCAAGGAATGGAGCAATTAATTTTGTCACACCTATCCCTAATTTTTTCCGTTATGATGGAATAATTTTCCCAGGAGCAGAAACTATTCTCTCCCTTAAACAATCTTATCTCGTCTCCTTACGAGCATAAGGCGGTATATATTTATAAGTCCAATTATTAAATATATCTGGATCACATTCTTGCAATTCAGCTCCTATGAGGCTTGCACTGTTGTTTAATCCACTGTTTTCATATAAATTGCATTTAAACCCACTAAAACCCATGTTTAAGGTAGCTCCACCTTTCCAGTAATCATGAGTTCTATTTTCATAGGAAACATCAACTAAGTTTCTGGTATAAATGGTTTTCCTAAAATTTGGATGAAAAAACCTCAATTTATTAAATTGATGCCGATAAGCTCCCATGAGTTTATGGCTAAAATCAAATTTAATATAGAACTTATTATGCCATAGGCCGTGCACGCTATCTACCAGTCCCATATGAACCGGGCTTGGTCTAGTTTTATATTCTGCGCGCGTGAGCATATCCCATTTGTATACATACAAAGCTAGGGCCATTCTATATTGTTGATCTGGAATCGATTTAATAAAGTCCGTTAAGCCACTCTTATTAGCCACTGATTCAGGTACACCGTGACTACTATCTAACATTAACGGATGTATTCCTCGATTGTCGATCCAATGACTGTCTATAAAACATTTTATTGTTTCACAGGTTTCATTTAAGACTCTTTCTTCTCGAATGCCCATATATCTGACATAAGCTTTCCACTTGTCAAATATTTCGCTTTCATATTGATCCATTAGATTTTGATCATAAAGTGACTGACCGGTTATATAGCAATACCAGTATTCTGCTTTAGTCAAATCCGTACAATATTTTACCATATTGTGTTGGAAAAGGGATGCCCATGAATCTGGTTTCAATCCACCATATTTCCGGATGAGAAATTTAGCCCCGTTAGAGCTAAAAGGTCTCATACCCAATTTATGAATACATGCCTTCTCGCTATCACAATATTTACCTTGGGTTTGATGTTGTTTACATGTTACCCAATCTATTTCCTCATAAGGAATTACTGGTTTTTCTTTATAAACACCTAATATTAGGTGAGTACTATTCAAACCATCAGGCCAATAAGTCACATGTCCTTTAGCTCCCGCCATTAACCAATTTGTTAATCTGCGATTCCTAGACGTCTCATTGCCTGTTTCCGATAATAACCCAACTTTACTGATTCGGCCGCCATGTAGGCCTCTAAGTATTTTATCATTTCTGGGTGCAGAAATGGAGTCGGTCATTATCCATTGTTTAGCATTTGTCAAATTCTGCCAACAATGTCCTACTGATTTGCTTAATTCAACTCCTAATTCCAAATTCCAGACGCTTAGGCTACTTTCATTAGTCCATACTGTCTGATTTTTATTTAGGATTTCAAGCCCAATCAGTCTTACATGGGATTCATTTATAACTATAAGACTATCCCATTTAAATTTTACTTTATTATTCATTAGACCATTATATTTCGATGGTATAAATAAAGCTATTGGGTTAGAATGATTACATACCCAAAATCTGTCGTCTATATTTCTAATATACGACTTTACCATTGCTTCAAAATCACTACTATTGTAGGTTTTATTTTTCACAGTTATTTCCTGATTTGGACATACCCAATCTTCCGTTATCTCGACATGTTTACAGACATGCCGGGTTTCTTCCATGCTTTGAGTTTTTATCTCTAACCCTGAAAAAATCGTGCCTATTATAATTAGGAGTAAAGAGCTAGTTATCATTAGGCTCATCACGGTCTCCTGGACCCGTGACTCCGTACACTTCCGGCTCTCTCTCACCCCTCTGACAGGCCCGTCTTTCTGCATGCTTTCCTGCAACAGAGAACAGAGACAAACTCGTTTCATCCTATTCTGTCCCTCGACTGAATTTTTTGGAGATCCACCTTTTAAATTGTATTAATTTATTTCCTGTTGCCATATCAGATTTATCTTTTGATCTATTCAGATAAACATTTACTCCCTGAATACATTCTCCAATACCCAGGTAACTTCCTGTTAAATTTAACAGAACAGTTAAATCCAGAATTTCTATCCTAGATTTATCCTCGTCGCTTGGTTCACGAGTCATTAAGTGATATGGTTGTGTGGATCTGATAATTTTGAGTTTTGCTGTCCCTTCTCTAAAGGATTGTGAAGATCCATAGACTGAGATGTTTGATTCAGTGAAATAACTGGGCTCATCTTTTGGTTCGCATACTTTTATGCACTGTTTAAATGTCATGTCTTTTGCTGTAATTATTATAGCGTCAGAAAGTTCACATTTAAACCACTCACTGTCATGCAGAACCCATACACATGCACCAAAGCCACCTCTCTTGTAGCTGACCTGCGTGTGTAACTGCAACTTGACAGCGGTCTCCCATCCACCTAAGTGAGTGAGATATATCAGGCCATTCCGAAAACTCTCGTTTCCATTCAGAGACTCTTGCCCCCCCGGCAGACCTTCCGGACAAAAGGACAGTTCATTCAGTCTCTGGGCCATGAATTTCGATTCTGCATTTGTCATTAAGGACACTGGGTTTATGTCCCACATTGTCATTATTCTATTTTCAACTAAGGCCCCTAGGGCCTTTTTGGATTTACGAGTCATCCATATCTGCTTTTTGCTTATTAGCTTTAAGCACTTGCAACTGAATAGACTCTTACATCTTTCACACGATGTAAATTCTTCCCCATCATACACACATCGGCATTCCCTTCCTAGGGCAATAAACCGTTGCTTACATGACTGACAGTTTCGGCATAAGCATCCATCCTGCTTTATCTCATATTGTTCGATTTCGACCTTCTGGTGTGACTCTCTGCAATCACCACAGATGGTGACATCATGCAAAGCACACGCATCGATATCTCCTAACTCATTCCACCACGGAAAATGAGCTCCTAAACCATGCTGAATTAGCAACTCTGCTTTATTTGGCCTATTGGCGTATAAGCCTTCAGCTAGTTTAAACGCTACATTAGGTTTTCCACATACGGCGCAGTCTTCGATCCTATAACTGATAGCTGGTGTTCCTTGTACACTAACAGATTTTCTTCCCAGTGCTCTATCATATTCTGGTTTAAGCCATTTTTCAATGGTTAAGTGTCCAGAAAAACCTCTAATAACTCTGATGAAGCCTTTTTGCTTATAAAGGCCTTCACAAGCTTTGAGGTCACAGGTCAAGTTTGTGTCTGCCATTATTCCGGCTTTTTTATTATGTCTCTGAGACTCCAAATACCGTTGGCTTCTAATTCTACGGTAGTATTAGATGGTATTGATTTAACTTTATCTTCCGTGCCTAGATTTTCTTTAAATCTATGCCCTCGGACTCTTTTCTGTATGTAGACTATGTCGCCTACCTTTATTTTGGCCCTGTTTCTTGGTGGATTTTCCTCCTTTTCAGGTACAGGGACTCTGTAATTTACAAATTTTAAGCAATCAATAAGCTGTTCGTCCCAAGGTAATTGATTGTTTTTACAAAACCAATTTTTAATTTCTTTTATCCGCCTTTCGGCGATTCCATTACTCGAGGGTTGATATTTCACGGATTTAATTAATTTTGCCCCTGAATCTTTTATAAACTGTTCTACCTTTCGACCTGAAAGGTTAAAAGCTCCGTCGGCTCTGACTCGATTAGGTATTCCCCTAAATTTGAACCATTGTTGTAAACTTTCAATTACTACTTCTTCTGTAGCTTGTTTACAAGGAAAGATCTGCGTATATTCACTCGCATTGTCCGTGATTAAAAGAAAATAACAATTTTTCTTTTTCGTTTGCGGTCTAATAGGTCCAGCAAAATCCATGCTAATTTCATCGTTCTCATGATCTGTTTTTATAGATCCATAATCATTAAAACGTGAATCAATTGCTTTTCTGCAGTTTGGACAGTTCACTTTTATCTTATAGTACTCAGACTTTAAGTTTTGTATATTTAGGCCTAAAGCATGACAATATAGCGCTAAATATTTTGTGGTAGGGTGCTTTAATTCTATATGTAATTTTTCAAGTAAGTCTTTTTGACTTTCCTTGGTAACAGCCCGTACTCTACGTACATAACTGTCTACTTCCTTATTCCCTATAGCAGCCATTGTATTCTGTGACGTATGACTAGTTTGGTGCAATACTGTTGGTGTAATTTCTGTGATCAGCTCATCTATTACTTTCCAGTCATCAGCTTGTTTTAATGGCTTCCCTTTGGAAGTATTAAAATCATTATTTTTCCAAGTACCTAAATGTTCCTCTACAGCTTGATAGATGTAATCACTATCTGTCACCATAAAACATTTAAAGTCATTTAGTTGTTTGGCTTTCTCTAAAGCTTTCCTAAATGCTTTTACTTCAGCAGCTTGCGCGCTTAATCCTGCTGGTAAACTACCCTTGTCTGACTCGGTGACCTTTCGGCCTTTCTTTCGAATCCATCCCCATCTCGTTATCCCCTGTTCGGTTGTACCGTCAGTATAATAACAAACTTTATCAATGGGAACTTTGGTAGTCTTTTCGGCTTTAGGAATTTTGTCAGATTTAAATTGAAATTGCGTATCATTTAAAATTACGGTCCATTTAGCCCAAGTATGACAATGGACTCTTTTGTTCTCGGTTATAAGATTTTTCGATTCTCTCACTATTTGATTTATGCCTTCACCTTTGGCCTTAACTATGATCGGCTGGTCCAGCGCAAGGCATTTCAGTGTAATCAGAGATTTAGCGAGTGTAGCAAGGATATCGCCTCCAGTCATGTTCTCCAGTTTCCTTTGGTTTGCGGGTTTAGTGGAGGAAATGAAGCATACTGGATGTTTTTCATTTTGTTCATTAAAAATAATTAGTTCTATTTCATCCTCCGTGTTGGCTATTTTTACAACTAACGGAGTGGTTTCATCTCTTCTCACAAGACGACCACTATTTAAAGCTTCATCTATGAGCTTAGCCTTTATTTCGGAAAGTTTCTCATTCCAAGTTAAAACTCCCCCTCTTGTTGCATTATAAAGGGGTTTCGCATGTTTAGCATATCCGGGGATTAAATCTCTTACAAAGTTTAATGTACCCAGCATACTCTGTAATTGTTTTAAACTGGTTATTTCTTTTCCTCTTAATTCCTTTAATTTATTTTCTGTAGTTTGCGACAGAAATCGTTCATTACCAGTTATTTGAAATCCTAAAAATTCAACATCATCTTTAGCAATTTCCATCTTTTTATAGTTTAACCTAAATCCTTCTTTAGTTAGTCGGCTTAAGGTCTCATCTAATATTTTAAGATGTTCTTCTTCATCATTTGTAACGATTAAAATGTCATCTATGTACACTACAACAGGGAGGCCTTTAAGTATTTCCATCATTATTGCTTGAAAAGCATTTGGAGAATTTTTAAATCCCTGTGGTAGAACATTATATACATATTGTTTATTCTCAAACGTAAATGCGGTGCGCGCTCTGCTCTCTGGCTTAAGCGGCACAGACCAAAATCCATTTGCGAGATCTATTTTGGACAACAGTCTCCCCTCTGGGGCTGCGCCCGTAGCATCTCTTGCATTAATCAGATATCTTGTATCGGGTACAGTTTGTTTGTTTAATGCTTTATAATTTGTTACCAACCTCCACCCCCCGTCGGGTTTTGCTACCGCTTGAATAGGGGAGTTTGTTGGCGCATTATCAACTTCTTTAATTATCCCTTTTCGTTTTAATTCTTCAATTGTGATTTTTATTTCAGGCAACGCGTTTCTATTAATCGGATACTGCCTTTGTGGTGGTGGAATACCACCTTTTATTTCGTACTGCCATTTATCAGATAATTTTCCGCAATCATTTTTACTTCTTGCGGCGTGAGTTTGATATTTTCTTAATATCTCTGTGACTTTAGTACGGTCGGCTTTGCTGGTTTCGGCCATTCTTTTTATTTCCTGCTCCAGGTTTATTTGTTTTAACCAGCCTATTTGTTTGCTTTGTAATATTGTACTAGCATCTTTTAGTGTCATTAAATTATTAACACCTTTGATAATTTGCAAGTTTTTCCAATCATAAACTTTATGCGTTTCTACATTACCTCTAAAGTCTTTTACATTAAACGCGGTTTCCGTTTCTTTAGCTTCTTTAGGTAGCTGACTTACTACTGTAACATCTGCTCCTGTATCAAGATCAAATAATATTCCTTCAAAATTTATATTTAAATTCATATCTGCCGTTTCTTTAATTTGTTCGGACATTATGGCCTTTTTTCCTGGAGTCAGGCAACCCTATTCCTCTCGATTTCGGGATTCTTTTCGGTTACTGTTAACAACTCGCTCGTGTCTAACTTCTCTAGTCTTATTTTTTGATTTTGACTGCTTCTTTTTATTTCTTTTATCTAGTAAGTCCTGTCTCTGCTCTGGGGTCATTCTTTCCCAGTTCTCTTTTGAGACATAATCATTTTCTGCAGGTTTCTGCTTAAAATCTGATTTTTGGAATTTATTTCTGCTCTTTGGTTTTTCCTGCATAGACTTCTGATGTCTTTCTGTGACAGGGGCTTCTGCTCTCTGTCTCTGCTGCCTGCTTTTCCGTGCGGGCGGGGCTCTTTGTGCTCTCTGAGCTGCTGCTCTCGGAGGCTGAATTCTCTGCTTCTCTGAGATCAGCTTCCTTTTTCTTTCCCACCTGATTGCGAAATTAGACAATTCTATCCAGGTGGTTTCTGGCCCTAAAAGTTTCGCTTCAGCTAAGCCAGGGACTAAATCTGTCACCTCTTGGAGTTCTCTTATCAGTGCATACACTGATTCGACTTTACCCTGTCTATCAAGACAATACGGGTAAACTCCGATCGCTCTGATCAATTCAGCACGATCATTTCTTTCATCTTCTGGGCTCTTGCCCAGTATTGTGCCTAGCTGCAACCTAACAGTAGCGGGTGCAATTCTTTTGCGCGTGTGATGCACGATCATAGCTTCTATTAGATCGTCATCCGCTTTGTAAAGTTCGCCCATTCTAACAATTTCCTGAGCTTTATCCATAATGGTTGCTTCTGCAGGAAAAGATAGCTGAGATAGCGGATAGAGGGCTCTTTCTTTTAGTTCGCTTACTGCCTGGGAATTTTTAGTCTTTTTATTTTCCTTTCCCGCAAGCATGATGGATTTTCTTACTGAATATTCCTCATCGGAGGAGTCTGTTGCTTCAGAGCTTTCAGTCTCGCTCGAATCACTCGGCAGCGGGGTATCCTGCCTTTTTCTACTTTCAGCGCCTGCCTGCCTGCCTCTGCTTTCTTGTGAGCCGCTTTTAGCAAAGTGCTTTCTCATTTTATGCACAGTTCCGAGTTTAGGATTATATTTGCTCGAAGCGTTTTCATCTTCGGTCAAACCGGACCAAATCATCCCACTTATTAAAGCTTGAAGCGCGTCAGCAAGCTCGCATACCATGTCTAATTTGGCTTTTTGATTTATATCTGTGCGTTCAAGGATCTCATCAGCGGTGCTGGCCGTTGCTAGATAGATCATGTCAGCGTTTTCTTTCTGTTCTGATCGAGTGGCGCCTTCAACTTTTTTCAGCTGTATTTTAAATCCCTCCGGGATTGTTACTCGTCTATTTCCAGCTTTAATGAATCGCGCGTCGACGTGAGCTGACGTTTTTCTGTCTTTTGAGCTCGGCCTGGCATTCTTTTGGCGAATTCTACCTCGAGTCGATAAAATTCTATCCTCTTCTGAGGACGAGTCGCTTGAGCTGTCATGTCTCAGGGGACTCATTTTTTGAAACCTAGTTGTAGCAGCTTTTAATGGATTTAAGGGGCTGTGTTTTGTTTTAGCTTTTGCTTTTCGCATTAGGGTTTCATCATACGGTGTACTAGTAGATGGACCCCACTGAATTTGTCGATCAGTCTCAGGTTCTTTGTCTCTTTGCGAAGGCAAAAAGGTAACTTCCGACCTGTATGGAGCGGCGGCATGAGCCTGCTCGCCCAAAATTGAACCAGCTCTTTCATCCTCTGATTCAGCATAAAATTCAGGGCTCACGGTTGTGCTATTTTTTAGCACTTTTATCCGTCCTCTGAATCGCTCTGGGAATTGTACGGGACCTTTATGGTTATGTAGAATTAATTCTACCTGTTCACCGGTACCCGTAGCTTTATCTATAGCGTCTAACAATTCCAGCCAGTTATTTTCTTGATCGCTTACGCCTATGTAAACACAATTACCTATTGTACACGATTGAGGCGAAACATGTAAAGGATTCTCCTTTTTACGTGTTTTCAACTCCTCATTTGAGATAAGATGGATTTGAA